CCCTGCACTGGCTGTCCCTGGAGCCGGGCTGGGAGAGCTGGGGGTGCTCACCTGGACAGGAGAAGGCTCCAGGGAGAGCTCAGAGCCCCTTTTGGGGCCTAAAGGGGCTCCAGGAGAGCTGGAGAGGGACTGGGGACAAGGGGTGGAGGGACAGGACACAGGGAATGGCTTCACATTGCAAAACGGGAGATTTGGATGGGATCTTGGGCAGGAATTGTTCCCTGGGATGGTTTTCCCTGGCAGWGCCCAAGGCCAGGCTGGACATTGGGGTTTGGAGCACTCTGGAATAGGGGAAGGGACCCTGCCCATGGCACCTTTAAGGTCCCTTCTCTGCCAACCCATCCCAGGATATCTCAGCTTTCCCTGGAGCAGCCCCAGCCGGGTTTTGTGCTCCTTCCTTCCTCCAGCACCGCTGCCCTTCCGAGCAGGAAGGAGGAAAACACCCACCCTGGATTGTTTTATTTTCCCTTAAAAAGAAAAAGCAGCTTTTTGCTTAAAATCACGGTGAGAGCTGAATTGTCCTCAGCTCTGCACGGAGCAGAAATGCTTTTATTTAAACGCTWTTATTTTTTGAGTCGGTGCCAAAATACACATTTCTGTACCACAGGGTTGTGTTTTCCTTGGAATTACCATTGCATTTGAGGATTTGACCCTTTATTCCTTCTACACCAAGGAGGAATATTTGATAACCAACCCCCCCCTTTGCTGTTTCCCTTCTCCATTTCTATTTTTCCATCCCCAGCTCTGGGTTTCCAGTGCAGCTGTCAGGTGATTTATCCAAAGCCTGGAGCMCATTTCCCTCAGGTGTATTTTATTTCTCAGTAACTGCTCCTCCTTTCATAATAACAAATAGGACTGTTGATTTCTTCATGCTCATTAGGCCAGGCCTGGCTTAAAAATGGGATATTCCCAGCTCTGGAACATCTGGGAGCGAGGTTATTTAGGATCCTGGTGGAGAAAACAAATTAAATGATTAAATGGAAGGAATCAGGCTGGGAGCAGTGGGATGGAAACGGGGCTGGGGACACAGAGCCGTCTGGAAGGACAGAAAATGTCCAAATCTGCCTGTTTTATCAGGAAAAGAGCAGGGTTTGGTGCCCAGGGAGGAGGAAAGGTCCCAGCTGGAGCAGGGGCTGGGCAGGAGGAGGAGGGGATGGGCTGTGGGTGCTGGATTTGGGCTGGAGAGCAAGAAAAAGCAAATTGAGATGGGGAGAGGTGGAGAGGATGGGCTGAGCTGGGCAAGGGGATGGAATATTGAGGGAATATTGATGGAATATTGATGGAATATTGGTGGAATATTGAGGGAATATTGATGTATTATTAAGGGATTTTTGACGGAATATTGATGGAATATTGAGGGAATTTTGAGGGGATATTGAGGGAATATTGAGGGAATATTAATGGAATATTGAGAGAATATTGATGGAATATTAAGGGATTTTTGATGGAATATTGAGGGAATATTAATGGAATATTAATGGAATATTGAGGGAATATTGATGGGGTGCCAGAGCCGAGGGCATCCTGAGCTGGACAGTGCCACCAACCTCTCTCCCTTATTCTAAAATTATTTATTATATTTTATGTGTCAGTCCATTTTTAAACCTGGAGATTATTTGATGGCAGTGGTTGATGATCCATCCCTGAGCCCTTTTCCAGGAGGGATGGTTGGTTTGGAGCTCAGGGAGATGCTCTGGAGCTGTGCTGGGTGTGTGTGGATCCTGTTCCCACATGGGGTGGGTGTGAGGATGGACAATTGGGATGTGTCCATCAGCATTTGGGGTTGGGACCAGGTCACCTTTGGGGTCCTTCCCACCCCAAACCATTCYGTGATTCCAGTGGAGACAGACACAAATGGGAATGGGCTGTGGGGTCACCCAGGGGTGGGATTTTTGGGGATTTCTGGGGTGGTGGGGCTGGTGGGACAGATGTCCTTGGTGTCCCCTGCCCCTCACGGTGTCCCCTCCCTGCAGGCCCAGAAGAATGAGCGCGAGTCCATCCGGCAGAAGTTGGCCCTGGGCAGTTTCTTCGACGATGGCCCCGGGCTCTACACGAGCTGCAGCAAGAGCGGCAAGCCCAGCCTATCCTCACGGTAAGCTGAGCCTAAAACCCCTCTGGAGCCTGGCACTGGGACATCCCAAACTGGGACACCCCAAAACCTTCCCTCACTCTTTCCTCTCAAGCACATTCCTGAATTTTCCATGTTTAGAGCAACTCCCGAGCACAATACAGAGGGTGTTGTGTAAAAACCTGGAAATGATGTGGAAAACACTGCTTTAAGAGAGGGTGGAAGATGTGTGGGGGATAAAGGGAATGAGGTGAAGGTTTCTGAGGTTTAGGATTTGGAACAGAGTGCCCAGAGAAGCCCCTGGATCCCTTTGAGTGCCCAAGGCCAGGCTGGACATTGGGAGGTGTCCCTGCCATGGATGGGGTGGCACTGGGTGAGCTTTAAGGTCCTTCCAACCCAAACCATTTGGGAATTCCAACCTCAGTGACTCTGGAATTGTGTGATTTGTGCTCAGAAAGCCCCAGAGAATGGACAACACGAGCTTTACCCCTCCCCATCCACAGCTCTGCTCCGTGGCTCCATCCCTGGAGCTCCCCATGGATTGCTCCCTGGGATTTTTAGGGTTTTTACATCAAATACACTCCGGACAGTTCATGTTCAGCTGGAAGAACCCACCCCTTCTCGTGCTGGGGATGGAGCTCTGGCTGCTGCCATGGAGTGGGAGCAGGAAGGAACTCAGGGAAGCAGAACGGAGCTGATCAGGGAGAGGCACAGCTGGGAATTCACTGAGCTGCAGCTCGGGGGAAAGGGAAACCAGCTTTGGTTACAGATGAACCAGGAGCCACCGCCTGTAATTAGAGCACAGCTCTAATTAATGCAGCTCATCAGGCTTTGGCAGCTGCGGCCCCAGAAAGTGCCAGCTGTGCCTGCAAGGTTTGGTGTTTGTTAATGCTGATAATCCAGGAAAAGCATTCCCTGTTCCAGGACCCTCTGTAGGATTCTCTGTAGGATTCTCTGTAGGATCCTCTGTAGGATCCTCTGTAGGACCCTCTGTAGGATCCTCTGTAGGACCCTCTGTAGGACCCTGTGAAGGATCCTCTGTAGGATCCTCTTTAGGATGTTGTTCCCTTGTTTTTTATGGAATTATTCCCATCTTTATGAAGCAGGATCATACAATGGTTGGGTTGGAAGGATCTCCAAGCTGGGCTGGGTGGTGGCAGTGCCAGCTGCAGGGACAGCGGTGTCACCTGAGCTGGGCTGGGTGGTGGCAGTGTCACCTGGGCTGGGTGGTGGCAGTGCCAGCTGCGGGGACAGCGGTGTCACCTGAGCTGGGTGGTGGTGGCAGTGCCAGCTGCAGGGACAGTGGGGTCACCTGGGCTGGGTGGTGGCAGTGCCAGCTGCAGGGACAGCAGTGTCACCTGGTCTTGGTGGTGGCAGTGCCAGCTGTGGGGACAGCAGTGTCACCTGAGCTGGGTGGTGGTGGCAGTGCCAGCTGCGGGGACAGCAGTGTCACCTGAGCTGGGTGGTGGTGGCAGTGCCAGCTGCAGGGACAGCAGTGTCACCTGGGCTGGGTGGTGGTGGCAGTGCCAGCTGCAGGGACAGCGGTGTCACCGTTCCTGTCCCCTCCCAGGTTACAGAGCGGGATGAACCTGCAGATCTGCTTTGTCAAYGACAGTGGCAGTGACAAGGACAGCGACGGCGATGACAGCAAGACAGAGACCAGCCTGGACACACCYCTGTCACCCATGGTGGGTCTGGGAGCCCCAGGGAATCCCTGAGGGGCTGATAAGGGGCTGATCCCATTAAAATGCAAATCCAAACCCCAGAGCGGCATTTTCAGCCCTCGGTGAAATTCAGGATGCTGAGGGACAGATAAGAAACCCTTCCTTCCGTCCTTCCTAAATTCCTTCCTAAATTTCTAAATTCCTTCCTTCCCTCCAAAATTCCTTCCTAAATTCCTTCCTACCTTCCTTAATACTTTCCTTCCTAAATTCCTTCCTAAATTCATAAATATTTTCCTTCCTAAATATTTTCCTTCCTTAATTCCTTCCTACCTTCCTAAATATCTTCCTTCCTAAATCCCTAAATATCTTCCTTCCTAAATTCCTTCCTTCCTAAATATTCCTTCCAATATTCGTTCCTTCCAAAATTCCTTCCTGCTTTCCTTCCTGCCTTCCTTCCCAAATGCCTTCCTTCCTCCCTTCCTTCCTTCTTAAATTCATTCCTAAATATGTTCCTTCCTAAATTCCTTCCTTCCTAAATTCTTTCCTACCTTCCTAAATTCCTTCCTTCCTTCGTAAATATTCCTTCGTAAATATTCCTTCGTAAATATTCCTTCCAATATTCCTTCCAATATTCTTTCCAATATTCCTTCCTTCCAAAATTCCAATATTCCTTCCAAAATTCCCACCCCTGCCAGCTCCAACCTCTCTGTGTCCCCTTTTCTCCGCAGAGCAAGCAGAGCTCGTCCTACTCGGACCGGGACACGACGGAGGAGGAGTCGGAGGCGCTGGAGGACATGGATTTCCTGAGCAGGCAGAAGAARCTCCAGGCTGAGGCCAAGATGGCCCTGGCCATGGCCAAACCCATGGCCAAAATGCAGGTGGAGGTGGAGAAACAGAACAGGAAAAAATCGCCCGTGGCGGATCTGGT